ACGATGGTTCTTCAAGGCCTTTAAAAACATCTTTCAGCTAAATTAGGTAGAAATAGAATTAAGAATGAATTCAAGATGTTAAATTAAAAAAAAAAAACAACAACCCGAAAAAAACCCCACACTGACTGATCCAGCCCCTGTTGAAAACAAATGTGATTGAATCTATCAAGAAAACATTACACACAGAGCACGAGGAATAAAGTCAAGTCAAATGTAGTCTTCGCCCTGTAACTCACATGTCTTGTTTTCCTCAATTTGCTGCTTGTTCAAAATTTCCAGATCTCGTGATCTGGTATTTCCTATTCAGTATTATAAGCTGAGAAGAGCAATAAGAAATAAGCAACTGGAATTCCAGATTGAAATGATGGCGCTGTTGAGGAATGCATTATTTCTTCATAGTGCCTCAGTTTTTTGTTAATGTAATGATTTCATCATCTGGATTGCTCAGTCTTTGTCATTTAATGGGAGCTGAGGACTGTATGATATACTTGGTGTTTGTTTCTCAGTTTGATAACAATTTCAGGAAAAATATACTGCAGCCTTTACAGCAAATAAGGCAAAGTGTTCATAATTTAGAAATGTAGATAGCCAACCTGACACTTGCATAACTGTAGCTTTTCTATATATTTCCAACAGTTAAAATACATTAGAAGAAGCTAAGTGTGTGTAAAAAGCCTTTCCATTTAAAATATATAACAGGTACTGTCACTTTAGGTAAAGAAGCAGAGAAAATTGTGTACTGTATGAATTATGGATAGATTATGTTTGAGAATATTTTCATGGAAAGGACCTGATCCTGCAAACACTTGCTGTAACACAGAATGCTTGTCAAGTGAATATTTGCCTGTGTTTGCACAGTGAGTTCTGTCATTAAGGGAGAAAAGAATTAGCATTATGAATATATGTAAATGAACAAAGGGGTCGTTTCTCATTTATTTTTAAAGCAGTGTCTTGTAGTGACACAGTTCACTTGCTTTTGAAACAAAGAAAGACTGGCCAGTGATGATAGACTCTGTGTCTGGTCACTTACATGTGGGTAACTTCGTTGTGAACAGTGGTGAACTGGGAGGGGAGGGGAACAGGAATTGCACAGACTCCTGAAAGCAAAAAACTTTTCGGGGTTATTGGCCGAGTAGTAAGCATTCCAGACACTGCAGATTTTGGAGCCCAGATCCTTGAAAGTATTGGACACCAAACTGACTGAAATCAGAATTATTTAGGAGCTTTTACTCTAATGTGTCAATAATCTTTAAGGATGTGGCAGTGATTAATAATGGGGTGCTCAAGCTTAAATAGTGTTGCCTTAGGATCTAACACCATTAGGGCCTAACTCAGCTTGGAAGGTAGCTTAGCAGTGAAGGCGATTTGTTTTCTGAGCTGATTTTTTTTTTTTTTTTAAACTTTGCTGGTTAGTGGTTGCAGTGCTTTAATTAAAAATTGGGCTGCCCTCCAAAAAAAGCCATCTGGCTCCAAATTTGCTGTTTGAGCATAGCAGGATTAGTAAATCTTAAGAAATGCAAACTCTCTGGTGATGTTCCCTTTTACAAAAAAGCTTGAGGCAGAGTTTGTCTCTGTTCAGAAGAGGATTGTGGCAAGAATTTTCATGAGTTTCCTCAAAATGGCAGGTCTGCTTGATGCATTTCTTTGGACTCTCCCTGAAAGTGTTTGATACTGGCATACATATTCCACCAGTGGGTCCAGGTAGAGGATGCCACTGGGTAGTTGTCTTCCCCAAATAATTCTTCTGTTTGTGTCATGTGTGCATCGGAAGAAGGCAGTTCTTGCAGCATCCTTAGTGGGAGAATATAGAGGAATGGTTTTAAGTAAACGATAATAATTTTCCATCATTTATATTGAAAAATATGTGAGACAGCATGTCTCTTCACTTACGGTGTCTTTTGTTGCTACTGTTGCTTGTAAGTTTGCAATAGGAATTCCTTATCTCGCACCAGTTTGGATGACATTTATGGTGGTTTTTCTTCTCACAGAAATGCCTCCATTAAAATGTGACTAGCTGAGGTTCGTTCTTACTGCAGAGCCATGCAACAGTTTAGTACAATAAGGATTTTCTGCAAGATCTGATCGATGCTGCACCTGGTTAAATATTCTGTCTCTCATGGTGGGTAGTAGCCAAATACTCAGAGAAGTCATGAGAAATAGGGCAAGCATGGACGTGTTCCTTTCTTTGACAGGTAAAGTGAATTAAAAAAATGTTTGCAAATTTGTCTTTTGTTTAGGAGTAGGGGAAGAGGAAGACTTAGAATATTCTATGTGTGGTTTAAAAAAAAAAGGTCCCATTTCAAACAACAAGCTTCGAAGATTAATTTTGTTTAAACAAAACTCATCTTAACAGAGATTGTCAGGATACTCTTTTACTTGTAAAGTAAATAATTAAGATGTCTATATAAACTCAGCAAAAACTGTTCAAAGGCAGTGGAAAACTCCGTAAGAGAAGGAAGACCATGTATGTGAAGGAAGGAAGGCAGGGTGCAGCAGCAGGGTACCGAGTAATTCTTGGGAAAATTACTTAAAATAGGGGAGTGAGAAACTTGTACTGCTTTGCTATCCTGTTGTACATGGAAGGACCATAACTGCTAACTGACCCAATGTATAACATTGACATCCCTTGTAAACTGAGGATGCGTGTGTGCTGCTCAGCTGAGAACAAGTGCAATTGGGAATTTAAAAGCAACGACAAGGAGCAACTCCAATAAAATCAATTCATGGTTTTCTAAAGACTATTGGAGAGAGGATAATGGGACAAATTGTGAAAAAGGCTCATTAAGTTGAACCAGTCATGGGCAGAAGGTAATTGTAGGTATAACTTAGATTGACTCCAGGTGAATTGCCTCATTAGCTATGTTGTGGTAGCAAAGAGAACCACTTAAGTACTACATCCTGTGTTAGTGGAAGCTCTTTGAATTCTTGGTGGTTTTCTGCTGGAGCACAGTAAAACATTGCTTTACAAGGCCTGTGTGCAAGTCTATCTAAAGGGAATGTAGGGTCTCAAATTTACCAGAAATGAAGACTTGCCACTGGATAAAACTCCAAAGGAAATACTTTTGTGCTAGAAATAGAAGGGGAGATGTTCACTCTTTGCAAAAAGTGACTGGAGTCTGTAGACTTAAAGCCTGCTGCTGTGGTCATTCCAAAACTGCCAGTGATGGCTGTGTGGATTGACATTTCCCAGTGTCCAGTTCTTTCACGCTTTCTGAGAAACCTCATAGACACTTCCAAACAATTCTTTTCCCATGTCTTTTTTATGAGGGAAATGTTTTCCTCCAGTTTCCTGTGAGCAAGCAAGAATAAATATATGCAACTAATTTCCATTTCAGATTAGAAATATCTTGCTTACATATCTTTCTTACTGACTGAGAGAAGTGAACCTTCAGTGTCCTCTTGTATCACTATTTGGTTTATTTCATTACTTGATTTGATTTATGAATGTTATTTGATTTATGTATCTTATGTCTTCTCATGTGTAGGATGTACAGAGAGGAACTGGAGTAGTAGCTCCAGGAATAACTGTGTCTGTTTTCTGATTGACTTCCTTGCACAGTGCTTCGGAGCCATTTGCCATAGGATGTTGTGGATGTTAAAGCTCATACGGGTGCAAAAAGCCAAATTGTAAAATAAAAAGCTATCTCTATGATTGCTAAATACTAAGATGGCAGATTGCTGAGCCAGAGAGAGCACCCTGGGGAAGCATCAGTTCTTGTTTGCTGTATTGCTTATGCTGTGTCTTGTAATTAGCTGCTCTTGGGGTCAAAATATGATGGTAAATGGATCTTTGGTTTGACTAGACCAAAAGTGTTCTCATATCAAAAATGAAGACAAATCTGTGCCATTTATGTGCTTTATGCAGCACTTACTGTACTTCCTTTGTAAGGAAATCTGTGTTGTTTGTTGCTCTTCGTTCTTTTGCAGCTATGCCCTGCACAGGTACCCTCTTCAGTTGTGATAAACAGAACAGAAAGCTATTTGAAATTAAGTTGTCTTTAAAGAGTAAAGACAGTCGTTTGCCCAAGTAATGAGGGTTTTTCATTGATAATGCCACCAAGCACTTTGGGAGAAGGTAGGAGAGAAAGGCTGGCTAAAAGGTAAGCACTCTATGTGCTTACAAGCCGAAGGACTTAGGTGAGTGTCTCTTCACAAGTGTTAACTTTTTGTTCCTGAGCATACCACGTTACTAGTGTCGGGTGCTTGTTCTAGACTGGTGGCTAAGGGTGTGTGTTGGAATAAAAAGGACTTTTCCAAGTGAGCACCTGCAATGTCAGTTACCAGCACTTAGTCTCTTGTTGATATTTGTAGATTGTCATTTGATGCTCTTTGAAATGACTCTTATAGCTGTGGTTCTTACTGAAGCTTAAAGATGTGTTTGAATTCTGGCTTGCTTATTACCTATTCATGTTAATGACTGTAGGCTTATAGATTAAATATTCCTGTTGGGGTTTTTGGTTTTAAATATGATCTTTCTATAGAAATTAGTTAGCTCATGGGATCATCAAGTAATACAGTATGTAAATTTAGTCATTAAAGTAGGAGGCATTACAATGCATTATTAATTTGTTGGTTTCTGCTAGTAACAAAACAAGTTGAAAAAAAGAAAAGATGGGAATCTTCCTGAGTGTGTATAAGACCTTTTTTTTTCCATAATGCAGATTTGTAATTATATATTTAAACAATGCTTTGTGTGTAAAATATAAGATGGCGCTGCTGCATTTTCTAATGTTTGAGTCTAAAACTGGAGGGGAAAAAAATGAATGTGACTACTTCTAATGGAAAATGGTTTTGGCATGACAGTCAGGGATGTGTATGAGTGCACAAGGTGCACCTTGTACATTAGTGGTTATTTCTTTCAAATCATATTGGTTTGGGCTGATTATACCTTGCTGGTCTGCTAGTTATCTGGGTTGTGTTTTTTTATTGCACTTGGAGATACTGTATTCATATACCAAAAACATGCAGCGATCTCACCAGCCCTATGGTTCTTCGTGTTGTAGGCTGCCACTCGTCAGGATATGACGTACTGGCTTCAGGAACTTCAACAGAAGAGATGGGAATATTGTAACAACCTTGATGCAGCAAAAAGGGACAGCCGAACTTCCCCTACACCAAGTGACTTTTCCAAAGGTCTTGTTGCCAAAGACAACCCTGGTAAGTTGAAAATTTGAGTAAAAACGGAAGGCATGTTTCTACTCAGTGTCAGTTAACCAGTACAAGGCATAGCACTGGGGTAGAGAGCAGTCTTAGGAAGTTTTTTGTCACATCTTGTTATCAAGTAACTCTATGTAAACTTTGCATATGTTGATGATGCTGATTTCATATCTCTTACGAAACCTGTTGATTTCTTTAAAACCAAATTTTTAAAAAGGAAGTAAAATGGAGTAGTCCTATGACTAGGTTTCATTAAGTGGCAAAGTACAGTTTAGGTTAGATTAGTTGTCTTTTAGTGGTTGCGATATCTTAAAAGCTTAGTGTGTTAAGTATCCTGAGATGTAAATGCCAGTTTTTAATGGGAACAGGATCTTTTGTATTCTGAATGACCATACTTCGTTTCCGAAAAAGTATGGTGTGGTGGATCTATCTGATGGTGATAAAAACTTCCTGCCTTTTAAAACTGGAAGAGAGTTTGCACTGACACTACATAAGTGAAATTCAATCTCCATAATACTTTTAGCCAAGCAAAATGTGATTTTAGACGAGTGTCAGAGTTATAAAAATGTATCAGTGTATTATACAAAGTTATTCTGCTTTTTTGACTACTTTGCTCAGGCACTTCTGAATTGTTTTATTCCTGAATCATTACAGAAATGGATTGCTTGCTGATTTCTGTTATCCATAAATATGAGTGAGTAAAATCCTATTCTGTGCCAAGTTAGACATTAGTAAAGCTCATTTGGGTTTAAACAGAGTCTTGAGGTCAGACATGTTTCATGAACAGATTTTATATTTTGTTGATTTAAATTTGCTCATACTGTAAACCCAGAAATGTTAAGCTGTCTTCTTCCCCGCCCTTCAATCCCCTCCCCCAGTTCAGATCCCATGCTGCGGTATTGTCCTCTAACCCAGTTTACTGCTTTCATTTGAGAGCAGTCTGCTTGTGGCTGCTTGCTCAACCACAGCTGGCTGAGAGTATGTGTTTTCGAAGGGGCTCAGCTTGATGTTTAAGCTATACCAATCTAACAGCTAGTCACTACTTAAAGAAATGCCCAGCTCTCTCCCTTGATCTAGCACTGGTGCTAGTCTCACCCTTCCTTATTCTAGTGCAGGGAGTGCAGCTAGCAGGAAACATCTTTTTCTCCAGGTTAGTTTTTGGCCAATGTAGCTTCCTGAAGTGGTTTACTCTAGAGACAGATGAGTGCCAGGATTAGCTCAAGAGAATTGTTGGGAATGCAAAGCGGGATGGTTTGAGACCACCTTTCTGGCAGCAGACAGTCTGGTTAGCAGCTTGTCAAATCCTAAGCTGCAAGAATATATGTGTTGGTGTGTAAAGATCTAACAGCTTGCAGGTGTTGGAAAGGGTAACAGGTTTTTGCTCTTTCTACCTTCAGCCTCTTGTTCTCTGCTATGTAGTCTCCCTTCTAGCATTTTGTGGTGTTTGTCTTGCCCTGTGCTGAGTTGGCTGAGTTCAAAAGTTAGCCAAAAAGGAAGTTTGCTTTTTTTTTCTGCTAGATTAATGAGTGGAATATATTTACTGTGCAATCAGGTGACTTCCAGAGCTGATGGAAGGGGGGAAACCAGGCATAGTGGCCAAGTATGGGAAGGCAGAGTGAAGGAGTAAGCAGGACTGCCCTCTTTTGGCAGCAAATTATTGGATCAGGTCAACTATAATATGTAACTTGGCCCCAAATCTCTGTTCTTTCTTGTTTGTGCTACTTCCCTCAGAGCTTAAGTACAGTGTGATATTAACCCACTGTCCCTGTAATCTGTGTAGATACTGTACCCTCACTCCTGTTTTGCATCAGATCTAGCAATCATAATCCAGTCACTTTAGATCACTGATCTGATATTTTCCTTTCTTGTAAATTGTTGGGGGTTTTCTGGATCAGCAAGCTGAACCAATTTGTGTGATTTTTGTTGTTGTTGGTTTTTTTTTTTTAATTATTATTATTAAATCCAGTGCAAGGAATGTCAAGATGAAATGCATGGGCTGAGTAACCCATCCCTTTCAGGGACAGCCTGCAGTTAAACTGCATTATGTATAATATGAAACTGCATCTAGAGTATCTCATTTTTGAGGACAAATCACAATAATGACTTTATCAGCAACTGAAGTGTTTAAGTAGGGATTTTTTCTGGGGAGAATGCGAAGAGCCTGAATGATTGATGATTGTTTCTTCTTTTTAAACAAGTACTCCAAAAATTTCCTATGGAGTTGGGGGACTCTTTAAGGCTTTGATTCCACGCTGATGACAGAGATGTGTCTTGTGGTGTTTTTTTTTTTTTTTAAACGTGAATGTGCATTTGATGATGTTCTTTATACTGGAGCGTAGAAATTGGTTTGTTTTGCTAGTGCTTGAGTACAGATGCTATCAATAATGTTTTAAATGGGGAAGTAGTTTGTCTTCAGTCCAGAAACAAAATTGCTCACTGTAGTCTTGTCTGTTTTGTCCTGTCGTACTTCCCCCTCAGTTTAGAAATCTGGACTAACTGGAACATAGATAAAGCTAAGGTACTGCTTTATGGATCAGGCTTGACAAGTTTTTAAGAATTTTCAAGGTAGTGAAAAATACTTTAAAATATTTTTTCAAAGTGGGCTGTAGGAAAGATAATGTTACAAAAACGATTCTGTAGGATTTGTCATGGAGCTGCCTTACTACCATGGAAGTCAAAGAAATTATTTATTCTTTATAGTATATGTGTGGGTTTTTTTCTTGGAATTGATTCAGTGTTAATGTAGTTTTTATAATTTGAGTTCTTAGTTATGCTATTCCTCAACTCTTGATTTGCATTAATAAAAAATGGTATGTCATGTATTTTTAAGATTACTATGTTTTGAAATAAATTGGAAAAAAAGATTATTTTTTTCGTGGTGATTGTGTTAGCAACCACGTTACGTTGTTGTGCTGTATCTGCTGTGTAGTCCATACCTCTAACCAATCAGCTGGCTGGGGCGAGCAGGGGATCATGTACAATGAGCAATCTCAGAAAGTCAGAGAGGATTCAGCCAAACTGATTAGCACGCCTGTTACAGGAAACGCATTTATTAGAAATTCAGCTCTTGAGCAATTTGTTTACCTGGGCCATGCTATGAAAAGATTTTGTAGTCTTGTCAAATCATACAGGTAGAAGATGAAACCAGCTGTAAGTATGAAAGCAGAATGTTAGTATTCCAGGCTGGTTTTGGGTGCCCGTAGGTTTTTGGTGTGGGGTTTTGGGGTTTTTTTTTTGAGGGGGGAGGTGTGGTGGTGGGTGATTGTTTTGGTTTTGGTTTTTTTTTAGTTGAAACCTATTGTTTTATCTTTCCCCTTTATTAGACAGTGAATATGATCAAAAGTTAGTTTTATCTAACTTAGCTGAATTTTTTTCAGCTCAAACAGCCAAGGTCCAAAAGAATTTGGAATTTAGTTCGGCTGGTAAGGCACTGAAGAAGTTTCTATCAGCACTGTTCATAAAATAAGTCAAGGCAGTGTAATTTGTACCTGTCTTTGAAAGATGACACAATATACTTCTGCTTCAGACACCATTTTTCAAGGGTTTGAGAGATTTGTAGTGTCAATGATCTTTTATACTTGGTATTCTTTATCACAAAATGTTGTCTTTCTACTTCTAATCTTCGATATGGGCTAAATAAGAGTAACCGTCTACTGAGTAACTGGAGGGTACAGCTTGCTTAAAGATGGTCTTTCTGCTAGTGCCAAGTAATTGTCAGAACAAAGACTGAAAGGCTCGCCAGTGATAAAACAGGGTATCGTGATTTCCCAGGGTTTTTTTCCTTCCTGCAGAGTATAATTTAAATCAGAAGCCCGTCCAGTGTGTTACTTTCTAATATAACTGCTGAATCAAGTCTGAGAGTGTTCTCAAAATTTTTTAATCCACTTCAGTACATTGTGAATGATATGGAGAAGAGTCTGAAAATTACATTTGAGCTTGTTTTTAACTCGCCTGTTCAGAGGGTTTGTAGAAGGCCATAAACCACTTCATGCTTCCTATAATGCTTTTGCTATCCATACTCTGCATTTTCTATTCCCTCTGCCTGCTGGAGGAGGGGTGAGGCAGAAAGCAAGCTATCCAGGAAACACTGAGGTAACTTATATACTACAGATTCTACAGTACGTGTTGGACAGTGTGGTATGTTGGAGACCTGGCTAGCTCTGTTGGATCAGCTTGGATCCTCTGGACTTTATTAGCTCTGGCTTAGGGCTAGCGCCAGTTCTTGGCTGATTCCTGTGGAGCCATTCAGAGCCTGCATGAGTCTGCTGGCATGTGTGCAGTGCTGGGCCGGAGCTGTGTTTCTGCCTGGCCCTGTGCCTGATCTGTAGATTTGCTGAAGTGCACAAGAGAGTTTGGCTGGATGAATTTAGGTATAGCTGCGTTCAGCTTAGCCAGAGCTAATAAATCCTCGCTGATCCAATAGGTCTCTGACATGTCTGCAGTGCCCATGCCAATGTTCTCGGCACTGGGAATGCCCAGGCTGGATTTGCACAGAGCTGGCTCAAGTCCATAAAGCTCATAGACTTGCAGCAGCAATGTCACTTTTAGGATGAATAACTTTTAGGATGAAGCACACCGTGAAAGCTGTGTCACAGTATTTTTGTTGACACTGTTCCTGACTTAGGAGTTCTGATAGACCTGAGCTTGTTTTACAAGGGGGTTTTGTGGATTAATATAATTAATCCACCTTAGTTTTTATGGCTTTATAGCTACTTAAGCTAGATGAATCAATATTGACTAATTGAGATTGTAAATCACTCATGAAATAATGCTTCATGAGCATCACACAAGTCCTGTTATCAGAAGTATGTGGCTGCAGTGAGAGCTCACTTTGCTATTTTTAAAGTTCATTTGAACAGAGCATTTTAGAAAGTTATGTTGCAATTTAAAATAAAACCCTAACTACATTACTAGCAGGCTTAGTAGTATATGACTTTATATAGCCACTATTCTTTTACTTACTGAAAGTTTTGCCTATTTTTCTTTTTCTCTCTTTCTCTTTTTTTTTTTTTAAAATAGATCTGAGTATCCTAAGTCAAAATGCTTCAGCAGAGCGAGCTAGAAATATTCTAGCTGTGGAGACTTCTCCTACAGACCTGGTGGGGGAACAAGCTGCTTCCCAACCTGCACCAGTCCAGCCAAGTGCCATCAATTTCTCACTTAAACAATGGAGTACCGAAATCAAGTAAGTTGGGGATGTGGGAGAAAGTTACCATGAGATTGATAGTTGCTGGCAGAGACTATTTCCTACTGAAAGATGTGTGTATGTGGTAGGCAGACCTTTTTAGAAGAACTGGGGGTGATGGGGTGCATCCGTGTATTGGACTGTATCTCTTCAAGTGAACTCTTTCTTTATTATACTTACTTGTTTGAAGGGCATAGCTGAACATCATTGTGTAGCATTACTGATACCTGAAAGGGAGAATCAAGTCCTGTAAAGCATTTCTAGTGATGGCTTTTCTCTCTGAACCCAAGCAGGGAGCCGGGAGTTGTATTCTCAGCTAGTACTGCTTTTTATCCTTTATTGTGTAATGGAGCTGCTAATTGCTAGCATTGTAGTAGTCATAGTATTTAGTGCTTATGAAGTGATGAAAATCAAAGCAGTATAAATCATTCTTCTTCATTTTCTTCTTAAAAAAAATAAAAGCACGTGGCACAGATTTGAAATGGATGTAGTTAGAGTTCCTGAGCAAAAATGTGGCAGACCCCTTCTGAACAACAGCAAAACCACATCTTAGCCCCTCACTCTTCATGAGTTTACTCTTTAGCATTAATTTCTTCAAGGAAAGCAGTCCTACTGGTTTTCAGCTCTCCTGTTACAGTTTCTTTCTAAATGTTTTTACTCTTTGCTCTGCCCACATAGATGGATCTTCCGCTTCTACTCAAAGGATATTACAGTGCTATTACAGAGCAGCTCACAAAGCGGAGCTGTAGCTTTGGTTAACTAGACCACATCCCTCTTGAAGCTGCAAGTAAAATGATGATCGGTTTCATCAGCAGTGCTGAGCTAAACAGATTACTTTTAAAGCGTTCCTGTTAAGCACAGAGATCTGAGAGGTTATGAAGTGGTGTTGGTTTGGGGGTTTTTTTTGTTGTGTGGTCGTGTGGTTTTTTTGTTTGTTTTTTAAGACTACTGTGTAGACCATCATTTAAGTTCTAGAAAAGATGGCTTATGGCTGGATTAAGAAATATATAAATCCTGTTACTACATGTCCTGTTTAAACTGGTAGTCTTGTATGGTTTCTTGGGTTTGCGTAGCCACTTTGCTTTGGTAGAACTTAAATTTGGTCATAATAGAACGAAAATAACATGAAGCAATTTCTGTTACTTGAAACAAGTGTTTCTGGCTTTTAAAAACTTTTTTCTTGATTTTTCGGGGTTTTTTGTCTGAATTGCAGATGATACGCTTTGGGGAAGTCTAGCTAGAAGAGCAGCGTCAGGGTAAGCCGCTCAGTGTGTTAATGTTTCTTTGTCACTGAACAGAAAGGCAACAGTGGAGTTGTGGGTTGGGAAGTCCTTTGGGTTGGAGGGAAATGTTCCTGGTGGCAGTGCCCAGCAGAAATTGTAGCACAGTGTTCAAGAGTTGGCCTTTCTCTGTATAGCTGTGATCTGAGCGGCTTGGAGTCCTTGCAGATCTCTGGGAATAAACATATAAGAAAATTTCACACCGTGAAGCTCTTACAGGCTGAACGCCACCCTCCCCCATTCCACTCTTTCTGGAGATATTCAGCTGCAGTGGTTCATCTGTCTGAAAATGTTCCTGGGAAAATAACATTTATTGTATCTACTAACAGATTATATTTTAAATTCTGTGGGGTTTTTTTCTATGGAGTGCTCTAGTGCCCCCATGTGCTCTAAATTTTAAAGCAGGCATTCATCCCTGCAAGCTGATACCAGTGGGAGATGGTGTCTTTGTCAGGATAGCTTGTTATGCTCAAACATCCTCTTCTGAGCTTTTGAAAAGTCATTTTGCAGAGGATTTACTGAGCCAGCAGCTAAAATCTGAAGTGTGTGTGATGTGGACAGTTGTGTGCTACCTCTGGCCATGTATTCTGTCATTGGGATGAGAGACTGACAACCTTGTCAGAAGCTATTTAGCTATGTGGTAATATGCTAGAACCTCTGACAAATTTATTTACATTAGCATAGGCCTTGCAGTGACATGTCTTAAAAGCTATGGACTAGCATTATCTCTGCCTGTTTTGAGCTAGCAGGTCATGAGCACTTAAGTTCCTGTATCCAGTAAGATAAATTTGCTCCGAGACTTGAGTCTGTAGCAGTTTTCACAAGAAAGCTGAGTTTTCTTCAGCATAGGTTTGGTTAGGGACAAGTGGATTTTCCTTCTAATGGCTATACTCAGCTGCTCCAGAGAGGGGAAGGGCATAGATAATCTTAATTTGGATTTATTTTGCATAAGTATTAAAGATGATCATTATTACATGCTTCCACTCCCCATATCTTTTGTTCATTCAATCCTGCAATGAATGATGCCCAATTAATAAGCAAAACTGTTCAGTAATGGTGCAAGGGTCCTTCAGATGACAGCCTTTCTCATTACACAGCTTTGGTTTATACTCAGACCATTTTGAACAGAACTCCCGTGAAAAAGCATTAAGTGGTCAGGTAAATCTTGTATGTGCAATCTCATTTGTCACTTCTTGATGGACAAGTGATCTTCTTTTACTGGGCTGAACAGCATTCTTTGAGTGTGTATCACAAGAAGGTCTAGGTAGTTGTATTGGATCTCTGTGTGGAATCAGGACAAGATTGTTAATATTTTCATAACAGTGAAAGCTAATTATTAATCTTGGAAAATTAAAATTACATAGAAGTGTGACTATAAAAGCTGGTGGCAAAAAAAGCCCCACTAAAATGTTAGAAAGGCTATTATAGTAAATGTATGCAAACAGCAATACTGTCGTGGTTGATTGTTTTCCTTCCTTCTCTGCAATTCTATGCAATTTGGGGCCGGGGTGGGATCTGATCACTTTTAGAATGTGTGTGTGTTATCCAGTATCTTATTGGATTGTGACTAGTTTTAACCCCAATATTAGAGGATGATGGATCAAGGTGTTTCTAAAACTTCAGAAAGTTTTCTCTACATTGCTGGGAGCATGTATTTGTTAAGAACCTGATAGATGTCTTAATCAAAGACTTATTCTTCCTCAGAACAGATCTATGATGTGTTTGACAGGGAAGCTATTGCTATAATAACTGCATTTGCATCCTAGGTAGCAGTGATGAAATAATAATTGGAAAAAAGTGAAGAATATGTCTTGGAGTTAAGCTACGTGTATAAGTTGAAACATACTTTTCCACTTTTTAAAATCTATTTTGAAGTACTAATTGGCATATATAGACATTTAGGCCTGAATTTTTTTCCTCTTTATGCTGTCAGCTACTTGTGTCTCTTATTTGTGTGGAATACAGAGTTGGAAACATACTGAATTGTAGTAACCTCAAGTTATATAATTATAAAATAAGACTTAAACCCCAAACATTTAAAAATACAGAATCATTAGATCGTATGATCAGGTCTTGCGTTGTGTGTCCAATTGTACTTGTCATACTCTGCTTAGGAAAATAAATATTGTTTTTTAAATTCAACTGCCTACTTTTAATCTAATAGAAGGCAATGAAGCAGTGCTACTTGAGTGCCCTTAACAATCCTATGCAAAATCTTTACAAAATTCAATGTCATCTGTGCCCTAGTTCACCAGACTACAGGGATTTTGCACTGCATAATGGTTAGCCTAGAGTTCACTTTGATCAGATGTTAAATCTCTTGTGAAGCTGAAAGACTGGGTTGAATCATCAAATGATCTTGAAGGTGTAATATGGGTTACTTTTCTGCTTAAGGTTCGAAGAGTAATAAGAGAGAATGTGGCTTGACTGACTGAAAGCGTATTTGTGGGCCTTCATCTTACCCAGACTGTGTAGAAAATGCTGAGATACTAAATACATTTCTAACTTTATACCTAAAATATTTAACTGATTCATATGGATTGATGAGGAATCTCCTTCTCTAGTTGAACAAAGACTTTACAATACTGAGCTACATTAATACTCATGGACATAAGTGTGGACTTAAACATGTCTGATTGCATGATGGTTGTGGGGGAAGCTGGGTAGGGTAATCTCATCCTGCTCGTGAAACATATTGTTCTTCTGTAGAATTATCTGGCTGGAATTTAGAGGTTGCGTCTGAAATGTTCTTGCAGATAATTGGCAACGTTCCACCTTAGGAAAGGAGAACTGCTAAGGAGTCTGTCATCAGCAATTCAGCTACAGCAGGTCTCTTGGATGATCCCAAGTTTGACATTAATCCAGAATAAGAAACTATAACATATATGTGTTTTGACTGCATGCTATTCTGTTTAATGCTTGGCAGTTATCCTAAAATTCTAAGCTACAATAACTGATCAATAAAGAGATGCTGCTTCTAAATCTTAATTTTGTTTTGTTTTATTTTTTCCCCACTGCCAAAACAAGGATAAAACAGAGGACACAAAAGACCCTGTGGTCTCCTAGATACTAATATCCTGTTAAAGTGAAATAATTCTTCTGTTCTTGAAACAGCACTGTTCATAGCAGGTGCTATTTAGCAAGATATGCTTTATTTTCTTTGAGCTTTTATTTGGTATTGGTTTTGTCTGTGTTTTAGCTTATTTTCAGTTTGCACTGTTTCAACTGCAGTGGTTGTCTTGAAAACCCCTTTATAAAAAGAATGCAAAATGGAGAAATCTTTGTCACTTTTTCTGCTGTTTTTTTCACAGAAATTCAATGTCCTCTTTAAGAAAAGGAAATAACGAAAACCGCAAGAGCATATTTTATACCACTGAAGAGTGGGAATTGCTGGATCCAACCCCAAAAGACTTGGAGGACTCGATGGCCCTGGAAGAAAAGAGGAAACACCTGGCAGAAGGAAGTAAAGGTAGAAGTGGGAGGAAGGAAGGGGAGCGTATGCCTTACCTTCTTTAATATAGTGTACTGTTATGTGTATCTCCAGGAAATAAGTGGAAGCTTATCTTTTCTTCACAAACAACATCCAGAGCTCTCTAAATTCTTTTAAAAAAAATTACTTACTTATGATGTGTTTGGAGTCCCCTGCCATTCAGATACAATAGAATAAGTATGAACTGTTGTTATCCACCGTGTCAGGTCCCTTGAGCATGTTACCATCTCTAGTTTTGTCACTTGAGTTGCAAGGTTACAGGATGAAGGGAAATGTTGAGGCTTTTGATTACTCCGTTGAGTGTCACCCATTGAAGCAGAATTGCCTTTACACTCTAAAGTATGTATATACATGTTACATTGGCTTGCTTCTGAAATGGGGGGAAAAAGTAGGGATGCATATGCGGTGGTAGCTCATCTATGCATTGTAACTGGTCCTCACATTTGACCAGTGTCTGGAATAACCTCGAGAAGAAATTTTTACAGCTCCTTAAGAGCACTTTAGCTGACATCTAAGTGATTTAATCTGTTAGAAAACATCCTTCTCTCTAAGAATACTCCCTGTTTATATAAATGGAGGTGAAACCTTATACTGAATGCCTCTTAAAAGAACAATAGGCTGTGGTATCAGTGACCTTTTTGCTCTGATGACTTCTGAACTGTTAATTATTTGAAGCAAAGTTTACTTTGCTATAGTTAGGGGTACCTTTTATCTTCTGTAATGAATTGTAAAGTTCTCTCTACGTCTTATTTCACAAGTATTAATTTATGAGCTAAATCTTTTATCTGGGAGGGGAGAAGACTTTGAGCTATATACTTTTCCCACCAAAGGAAACAACTTGGAAAATGAGGCCTGTTTAACACTATTGTATTGGGCTGTTTCAATGCTGTTTAGAGTCTAATTTTAATGACCATATTTTTAAAAGGAAATCTGAATGCTTTGAAATGCCTTTTTACTAAATGAACTGAACTATAAGAAATTGTTTTATGCAGGACTGACTAGTTCAGCTTTTCCATTCGATTTTGGCCGCATTCCACACAAAACAAGACGCCCGTTAAAAGACATGATTGGATCAAGTAAAAACCGGAACAGCAGTGACTCTTCTCCAACTGAGTGGTATTCTGGTAACGGCAACAAACTAGTCTCTGAACTGCAACTGAAGTATCAAAGCCAGCAAGAAGAGTTGGAAAAGCTAAAGAAAGATCTTTTGAGCCAAAAGGTAATTAAGCCTTCAGGCAAAGTGCACAAAAGCAAACGGATCTGGCAGGTGATTGTGAGTTTACCCTTTATGGCGATCTAACTGCATTAAGAGCTGGTTGTTTGTTATAAAATAATGGTGCTAAACGAACATTTGTTTACAAAAACTCTTGAAACAAGAAGGACCAAATTTTGCATCTGTTGAAAATTAGATCCCTGAACAAAACTTTCATTTGCACAGTTTTCATTAACTTGGTATGTATATCTTTCTTATTATCTGAAGCTAGCTTTCTCAGTGTTTGCCAAGATCCTGGCAGATAATCACAGCTTTTTTCACTATTAGTACATGTAATTCCTGAGGAACTTCTCCTTTCAAGTCTTTTTTTATTTAGTTTGTTTTTTGTTTCTTTTAATTCTGGAGGAGAAGGTGGGGGAATGGGGACTGACTTCTCTCTCCCTCCCTCCCTCCCTCCCTCTCTCAGCTGCATCATCACAAATGGTTTTGTAAATGATAGGCCTAGCCATAAATCTATGTATGTAGTACTGCCCTCATATAGTGTTCTTGCTTGTATGACCTTATAACTCAGATTTATTAAATACCTTGGTTTTATCTAAAAGAATTTCTTAAAATCAGTGGCTCATTCTAGGTATATATTTATGATTTTCCAAGTCTTTGTAAACTTCCAGATACATTATTGAACATTCAAGTTCTCAGGAATTCCATAAAACCAATTCCTATTTCTGTCGTCGTATTCTTAACTAATGTCAGACAACTATTAAAAAAAAAAAAACAAACCACCAACCCCGTTTCATTGGTAAGTATTGCAAATGCTTCTAGGGTTGAACTTACCTTCCCACAGTTCACAGTGTTAAACCATTAACCAAACATAGGAAACAGCAAATCTAATAATCCAGATTAGTGAGACTTGGAAGTGAGCAGTCTGCTGTTCTTGCTTTCTTAGTGTTTATTGTTGATCTGGAATATCTTCTTGTCTTCTTTTGTGTGGTTTTTGGTTTTGGATTTGTTGGTTGGTTGGTTGTGGGGTTTTTTGTTGTTTTGGTTGGTTGGTTTTTTTTATAGCTTAGCTGTCGGAGAGCTTCTGGTAGTAGCTAAGGCAAACTCTTCCTTTTACAGTATTTCTTTTCTTTCAAATTTCACTGTGACTTATTTGCACGTAACAGCCTTCACTTCTTGAATGTCATAGCAAGATCTCATTCCAGCAAGGAATTAAGTAGGGTTTTACTTGCAGTGTAACTGCCTTAAAAATCAGCTTCTCTTATGTGTGTGTACCCATGATTCCCCAAGCAAAACACATATATCTTTCATGCAAGTGAATAAATATTGTAATTGTCCAGGATCTATGCAATCCCATCAGCAAAGATACTTGTCCTTTTTTAGGATGAGGGAATAGAAGATGAAAATGGTAAAACTGTTAGATGGATGTGTTTTCAAAAAAAAGTTCTAGTTCAGAGCATTTGACGTTGTCTTTTTTGCAAAGACCACAGAAACTCCTTTTCTCCCTGTGGCAAGTCAGTTAATTACTTGGCTGATTCTGTGGCAAGATTTTCTAAACAGCCCTCCGAAGTCTTCCTTTTCAGCAAAGGAGCATGTATTTTTTTTTCTCCTTGTATTTTCTCTGCATCTGTTAGGGAAGAGAGCAATTACTTATCTTTCCCTTTTCCATTTTGTAATGTTCACCTCTTAATTTTTTTTGCTTAAGCCCTCTTCCTATTTATTTTCTTACAACAGGGCTTCTTACAAGTAAGCCTTTTTAGCTTCCAAGTAACTGCTGGGCCGCAGCTGCCAACTACTCTTCCCAAACCTGTTGTAGCCTTTCTAGGCAGGATCCTTAGCTCAGTGAAAGATACTTATGCCATCCGTATAGGCCAGTCATTGTAAGGTGTTAGCCTGCTAGAAATCATGTCATGTAAGTGTTTCCTTTTTTCCTTAAAACACCACCATGAAGTCTGTTACAACCTGATGATTCAGATGCAAAACCCATTCCAAAGCTTTCTTTTGCTTGACATTATATTTCTAAGTTATAAAACTTAGAAACTTAAAACTTCATTACAATTTTTCTTTTTTTAAAATTCTCAGGAACTTGTGCGACTTCTGCAGCAAACAGTCCGATCTTCCCAATACGATAAATATTTTGCAAGCCGTCTTTGTGAGGGGGTTCCCAAAGACAAATTAGAGCTGTTGCACCAAAAAGATGACCAGATTTTGGGTCTCAACAACCAGCTTGAAAAGTTAAATCTGGAAAAAGATAGTCTTAATCTGAAATGTAAAGTTGGAGAACTCAATGAGCAGCTGGGTATGTTGATGGAAACTATTCAAGCTAAAGATGAAGTGATCATGAAACTCTCTCGTCAACTCAGCGAATGTGAGGACAATACATCCTCTCAAAGTGGAGCAGTAAATTCTTCCGTGGCCTCCTGTACTAATAAGGAACTACAGGAACTGGACAGACTAAAAGTAAGAGCAATGTCTCTGTCTTGGTGGATAGGGGAATCTCTGCTCCTTATAAAAACTACTTTCTAGTCTGCTAAACTGTTTGAGGAGATCACTACAGCAGTTCTCCAAGATACTCATCAACTGAGGCTTTCTCTGCTTGGAATCTACACTTTGAACTGTTATGTGGCAATCTAAACAGGACTCTTATATTTTGAGCTGGTCTGTACATCTATAGTACAGTGTCCCATACTTTCAGTAAATTAATCATTGGTGTGGAGGAGGAATGATGTGAGAAGTAATCAAAGGAACAGGAAAAAGTAAGGGTAAGAGGAAAGTATAAGCATGGAGGAAAACAACCAGAAAGCTTGCTTTTTTTTTTTTTTTAAAATATCAAAAGTGAGGAAACAAAGAGCATGTGGAATGGCAAAGGGGAGCTCTGAGGAGAAAAAAGGAGGAGGAGTATAAAAACCTGTTTTACTAATGCTGATTCAGGTGTTATCAATGCTTTTTTTTTTTTCCCCCTCTAACCTACCTCAGTGAATGTGTCAGAAGTTCTTAATGGAGTTACTGAAGTTACCCACTTTGCCCTAAACATGCTTTCTTGCTTTTGGATAAATATTGTATTCCAAATTGATTAACATTCCAAGGGATTTGGAATACAAGTAAGTCATTAAAATATGCATAAACATTCATAAGTTTCTTTCCTATATGTGAGCCTGGGAAATTTTAGAAAATAAAATTGAAACTAGAAATTAATGGTCTTGGCAGAAAGCAGACCAAAGTTTGTAGATGCTGTGGAGTTTGGGAGTATTGTAATTGTTGGGAAGGTACCAACATTTCCTCATCCCACAACCTCAGGTTTCAGAGGTAATGTTTGTAGCGTGGAGCTGACCGAGTTAGGCAAGGAAGCTTATTGCTAAGGATTTGTATTTTTGTATGAAGGTAGACATCAAACTTGTACTTTAAATGAGAACTGGTGAGGTTAACCAAAACCCAAGGGGCATTTGCCTCCACTTCTGGTATTGGGTGGTGTGTGCTTCTGGCTGGTGCGCGGCAGCGTGACCTCTCTGGTGTGTTCAGCGTGCGCGTTTCTGTTCCTCTCCCTGGCGGCGCAGCCTCGCGGGGCTGGGCCTGCCCCGTGGCGGCGAGCAGCGGCCGGCTGCCTTCTGCCGGGAGCGTAGCACTGGGAGGCATGCAGGGGAGGCACGGCACCACGCCGTACAACTCTGTGCTCACATTTGGCATGTGTGTTTGACTGACGTGAAACTAAAAACAGTATTTAATTTGATCCTGGTATTTTTAATGATAAGCTATTAGTAGCTGCTCGCTCTGTATTCTGTATTCTTACCAGAGAAAGTATACTTTCTTTGTAAGTATATACTTACTTTGTTAGTATACTTTCTCTGGTAGGCATTTGCTGTTTGTAAGATATTTTTATCAAAAATCCAGTTTGTTTTTTTTATCAACAGGACAATCTTCAGGGTTATAAGACCCAGAATAAATTTTTAAATAAGGAGATTTTGGAACTTTCTGTTCTACGAAGAAATGCAGAAGCAAGAGAGAGAGAATGGCAGGCAAAGGTCAGACTAACACAGCATGTTCTCATTTTGGCAATATCTAAAGCAGTTTTCAAAAATGCAGCTGTAAATCTACTCGGGGAATGTAACTGTGGAGCGGAAGTGGAATGACTTAAATGTATTAAATATGATAGCTTAAAAAAAAAATATCCCCCCCAACTTAGTCCTTACAGACTAATCTTTCTGAATGGATTCTTGAAAGAAGTAATTGACTTTAAAATCATGTTAAACAGTGGAACTTTTTCATAACTTATGAACACAGGCATGTATATTTCTGAAAACATTGTTTCCTCAGAATTAAGGCTGTAATAATTTTCTTGAAGTATGCAAAAGGCAGGGTGTGTAAGGATTTGGTATGTCACTGAGTAGAGCGTTCTCCTGAGCACGATGGATGACTACGCTATTGTGAATGTAACTTTGGAAGTGTGTTTCTATATAGATGAATTTGAGTGTAGAGAAGTTGTGGGTAAATAATGAAGATTTCCATTGCCGGGGGCTAGGAAAACACGCACACATCCGTATCTAAGGCAAGATACCTGTAGCTATGGTTTGCTTTTTGGTTTTTTGGAAACGATGCACACAGCAGCCAGGTCTAAATGCTGTATTTTTGGCACAGAGGTGTATGTTTACAATTCCTACATGCTATTACCTAACTCATATCTTTAAAATTCCATTTAAGTTCTTTTTGTTCAAACATGCATAGACTAAAGCTGGTGCTTCAAAAGCACGAAATGGTTGAGTTGTCCTTCGTACAATGTAATGATAATTAAAGCTTGCTCAGATTTTCCGCATGTAAAAATACATGTAGTAGAAAGTCTTTGGTCTACTATTCTGCCTTAAAAGACTTTCTGTAAAAAGCCACACGTATCTGAGGTTTCTTTCCCAAGTACTTTTTATACGGAATTTTACAGTAGTGTAATAAAATGCATATATAATTTTTATTTTCCACGCGTAAGTGTTGCTTTATGTTTTCTGGTGCTACAAAAATGGGAAAGTAAAGCTGACTGTTCTTGACTTACAGGTTCTAAGCAACATAAACTAATAGAATAATATTGAACCAGATTTTAAAGGAAGTGTAGTACAAAGTAAGTTTCTGAAGACTTACAATATTATGTATTGTTTTCTGCAGTATACTAGCTTGGAAGCCAAACTCTGTCAGATAGAAAGTAAGTACTTGATCTTGCTTCAAGAAATGAAAACTCCTGTTTGTTCTGAGGAGCAGAGTCCTGCTCGTGAGGTCATCACACAGTTACTGGAAGATGCCTTGAAAGCAGAAACTAGTGAACAACCAGAACAAGCGTTTTTCAAACCACACCTGGTCAGGTAATTTGGTCCTATTAAAATAAAAGTTTGTGTATCTTGGTCAGCGGGCTCGGTTCTAACACTGGAAAACAGACAGTGGGGATATATTTGCAGGATTTGGGGTTTTTAATGTATTTCCATTCATGAGTAACAGTATTATAATGAAATCCTTTTAGCTGTATAAATATATTTATTATTTTATTTGAGATACAGTATAAAACTTAGAGTCAAATGTTGCTGTATAGCTGCTGAAGGTGAGCTACTGAAGAGATGGGTTCATTTGAACTTGACCGTGTTCTTAAACAAATTGCTTAATCTGTGTAGTAATATATATTAGAATATGGGCACAAAGTCTTTTGTATATGGGATTATAAAAGTAATTATTAAATAAAGGATATACTTTGGAAAAAGGTTTAAATAATAATTGTTAAAACTTGAAAACTATGGGGAGTGGCTTGAGGGATATCTGAAGTAACTTTAGGATGGGAACGTGAGAGTTTCAGGGCTACGGAACACATTTTTAAAAGCCTCTTTTCCTTTTTCCCCTCCATTTCAGTGAATATGATATATATGGCTTTCAGACAGTCCCAGAGGATGATGAGGAGGAGAAACTAGTAGCAAAATCACGAGCTTTGGACCTGAAATCGCTTTCTCTCAGTGAAAATCGAGAGATCTCCACAGGGGTAAAATGGGAAAACTATCTTGCAAGCACAATGAATAGAGAGATGATGCGCTGTCTAGAACTAAAGAATCTTATTCGATCTGGAATTCCACATGAACATCGTTCCAAGATGTGGAAATGGTGTGTCAATCTCCATGTTAAAAAATTCAAGGACAGCACTGTTCCTGGGTACTTCCAAACCTTGCTTCAAAATGCTCTGGAAAAACAAAATCCTGCATCCAAACAAATTGAATTGGATCTCTTGAGAACTTTGCCAAACAACAAACATTATTCTTCCCCAACATCCGAAGGAATCCAGAAGCTGCGAAATGTGCTGCTGGCATTTTCATGGAGAAATCCTGATATAGGGTATTGCCAAGGACTCAACAGGTAAGATTTTGCAAATCTTGAGTTATAACTATACAGTGAAACACTTAATGAGCCTTTCAAATCACATGTATAGCGACATGCTTTTGGACAGCCATTTCCTTATGGCTTGTATGTTCATAATTTATAATCTTTAAATAAACAAGTAACTATCAAATTTTTTTGAAACAATAAAAAACCAAACGACTTGGATCATGAAACGTGTAAAATCAGCTCGGCAAAAGAACTGGAATTCGAAATAACTCACATAAGAAATGTTTTACATTGTCTTCATGTCAGTTGTAGGGGATCTTTTTGCTTTTGTGTGCAAGAATTTGTTAGGTTTTTGTTTTTTTTTTAAACAAGCAGAAATAAATGCTTGAAAGCTTTTTGCGCTGATAAGGCCGCAAATTTCAGCATTTCTCTCAGGATGTCTTCAATCAGAATTGCAGTAATCAACTTAAGGATGATTCTCATGTCACAAGGCTAAGAAAAATTTGAAGTCCTTGCAGTTGGCGTTTGCCGGAATAGTTTTGGTACTTTGAGATCTGTAGCAAAGGAAGGTGTTATCTGAAGCAGGTATGTTAGTCTAACACCCCCCTCGTCCCCATGGTATAATACTAAAGATGCCAGTTTGCGCACTAATTTATGGACTAGAATAGGGTAAAAGACTTTAGAAATAGAGCAGCTTTATCATTTGAAACAATTTGAAGAAGTAGTAGAATAGTAGAATAGAGGCAGTGAATAATGCAATAGAGGTAATGAGGTGGTGGTGGTAGCAGTAGTAGAGGTAGTGGATAATGTAGTAATAAGTAGTATTCTTTTTCTGAGTATTCATCACTAGTGGTTATGTACTGTAGGTAAATCATATGTTTTTAGTATTAATATTGTCACTGGCATGTCACAAGACATGTCTAAAGAACTCGGCTGTTGCAATCTTGGAGCAACATGTCTCTGGTGACTAGAAGGTGTTAGAAATGCTTTTGCTAAATTTGAACTTTCTGTGCAGCATTATTTTCTCCTGGGACATTTTTGGTTTTACTGTAAATAATTCTGCATTTGGGTATACTTGCAGAAGTTAAAAGCAAATTAAATATTTATTCCTTGCTTTGGCTCTCTTAAGCTTTTTAAAGTGTGATCACCTTATTAAGCTGTGTAACATCAGAAGCAGTTCAGCTCCTCTTGCATACAGAAATAAAACAAGTTTACTTGGAGAAATATATTGGAGGTTACCTTTCATATTCAAACAACTATCAGCAACGTTAAGTTATTCTCTGATTTTTTTTTTTTCATGAATCTAATTGGAAACAGGAAAACCAGGAATGCTGCTGCTGTTTAATTTTTTTTTTTTTCTACTTTAAGAAATTCTTAGAACAAGTTTAGTCTTTGAAAAACTTTAGGGCTTTTTCTTTTCCCTAAAAGACAACGGTAGATAAAGACAAGTGTTACTTATTTATCTTAATGGATATAAAGTAAACATGCTAGAAAAGATTTTTTTTAAACTTACAACAATTTTGTGTGAAATGCAAGAAGAATGTGTTCTTCTCCTCTTTAATAAAGAAAGATAAAAGTCTGGGAATTGGAGTAGTATATTTAGGACTTGGAAGCTGCTTATTATTTTGCCTTAGTTCCTGGAAAAATGGCTTCAAGCAAATCACTTTGCTTTTGCCTTTATCTGTTTTCTTACTTAATTGAATAAAAATCCTTGGCTTGGCAAGGCATCTCATTGCCCCATCTTAAACTTCATTAACAGTTTTACTGTTTAGTGTGCTCCTGTTAATACATTTATCTCTGCTGAACAGAAACAAAGGCTTTATTGTAATTGTTCTTAATACATTTTGTGATACTATACTAATCTTTTTCTCCAAATAAACGTTATTTTCAGATTGGTAGCAATTGCACTTCTGTACTTGGAACAGGAAGATGCTTTTTGGTGTCTAGTAACAATAGTGGAAGTTTTCATGCCTCGTGATTATTATACTAAGACACTGCTAGGATCTCAGGTATGTGCTCTGCCAAAATAAAGCCTGGTCCTGTAAACTACAGCCAGTCAAAAACTTTCCTCTAAAACTGTCTGATAGGCCCTTTTTGGGGGATGTGTTGGGTTGACAAAGGTGAGTTCCAAGCACCAGGGAAATAACTGTTCAGATTATTAGCTTCACAACATTGACTAAGCTGATTTATCATTTCTTTCCTCAAAATTGGTGGGGGGTGGTTATGGGCTGTCCGGGAGAGTGGGGGTGAGAATGCATTTTGCAGTACTGCGAGCAGTATATGCTGTGGCACTCTCTGCTTCCAGGTGATGCTCTGGTACATGCTGCCTCCTCCCTCCAAGTCCTTCCCCAGCTTGTTCTCTGCTCTGGTGCTCCTGCACCAGTGCAGCACAGTGACCTGTAGCAGGAACACAACATCTGCGTGTGAGCAGCCCTGTGAGACTGGGGGTGGATTGAGAAGCAAAAGGTTGTGTCAGCAAGGGTGGTGTGCATTGGGGTGGCCACATACGTTTTGGGTGGATCTAGCTTAGAAGCGTTAACTAGACAGTCCTAGGTTTCCTGGTAGCTCTTGAAAAACTTGCACGTACAGATTGGTAACAGCCCTACTTTGAATGACGTAATTGTTGGAAAATTAAGAGCAATAATGTCATATTTGTCATCTCTTCAGGTTGATCAGCGAGTATTCAAGGATTTGATGAGTGAGAAGCTTCCACGACTGCATGCTCATTTTGAACAATACAAAGTTGACTATACTCTTATAACTTTCAACTGGTTTCTTGTGGTATTTGTGGACAGTGTGGTTAGCGACATCCTTTTTAAAATCTGGGACTCCTTCCTGTATGAGGGACCAAAGGTGAACTGAATGAGCTAAGTTTTTTCAATTGTTACTTGGTAACAAAATACTATGATGTTACTGAGTGCAGGTGGAAGAACATTGTTTCACAAGAATCCTGTCAGAATCACAAGAATCACTGGTAGGAAAAAAAGGGAGGAAATGTGCATAAATAACCAGTCAAAACTTTTATTTTTCCATTTTATCTGTGTTCTGCAAGTTAAAAGCTTGAGTTACATGGAAGAATTCTAAATGCTAAGTATTTTCTTTTCACCACCCACCTTTTTTTTTTTTTTTTAACCTTTGAAAAATAAAGCTATAGGCAAGTGCTGTTTACTCCTACGTGCAGCTGTCAATCAGTTTTAAGTAATTATATCAAAATGAGAGCAACTTTTATAAAGAAGAAAGCTTAAGTGAAGGAGGCAGAAGTTCAAAGTATTGAAAAGATGTAAAAATTAGTGGTAATCAAGTTTAGTTTGTCTCTGCCGCAACTATTTGTTTTATTTCTGCAGACATTTAAAGTACAACTGACAAACAATTACTGTCTGGGTTCCCATCTCATAAATCAAGGGGTGGGGGTGAAGGAATTTTCATGTTTCATATGTGTTGAATTGCAGTGAAATAAAATCGATGCAGGAAAAAAATCATTGGATTCAAACACAATAATAACACTAAAGCAGATAATGTAGGCAGTTGGAGAGAACAGGAGAGTTATAAAATAAGTAGGCAAAAACTGTGTGTTTGCTAGACTTCTTGTTGGCCTCATCTGAGCATTCTGATACGCAGTGATATTTTGGTTGTGTGTTCATCCAACTCAGTTTTAAGCATCATGGTATTTTGTGAAGGCAGCCGGGTACAGACTGATGAAGTTTAGAACTTACAGAAGCCTTTTCAGAATGAAGGGAAATAATGCTTCTTCCAGCTCACGCCAAAGTTGATTGACAAACTGGTATCAGAAATTCCTTCAGTATCAGTCCCTCAACTTGCTGGAAAAATTCAAGGCATTGGGAAACAACCTGTTTAAAAACCAAAACTTAATTTTAGGTCTGAAGTGACTTAATAAGTGCATTCAACAGGCCCAGCAGTCTTTGTTCTACAGCTGAATTAGGAACTCAAAACTTCAAAGAATTTGTATGCTATAAACCCAATATTGTATTCTGGACAGAACTGCAGAACACCTTGTCTTGGTTACAGGCCACAACAGAAGTTTTTGGCAGCTTTTGGAAATGGGAGACGGGGCAGGGAGTGGCAGGGAAGGGAGACAGAGGGAGGTGTGATTAGATAGCTCAAATGCAGCCTATAGGAAGAGTAACACTTTTTCTTTGAGTTTATAATAGATAATAATGAGAATCAGTGCATTCTGTTCTTATAAAGAACCAAACATTGTATGTATTTTTATCAGGTAATATTCCGATTTGCCCTGGCACTTTTTAAATACAAAGAAGAGGAGATCTTAAAACTGCAAGATTCAATGTCCATTTTCAAGTACCTTCGATATTTCACACGCACTATACTTGATGCTAGGTGGGTAACTCAAACTTGTGTGTAATTGAAATACTTGTAGTGGGGCATGGAAGAAGTCTGATGTGGTTTTTTGTTTTGTTATTATCTAGATCTTAATTTAGATACAAAGCAACTAGAGATGAAACTAAGTACTAAGATTTCTCATGAGTAGTTTTATCTAGCGGAGACAAAAGCACAAGTGATGAATGCATAATTGTAAAATTTTAGGTATGATAGAGATTACTTTGCCAGGTTGGTCTTGTTTAGCTGTTGTATTGTGGTAGCAAGACTTAAGAATTTCAACCATAGGTGAAGTCTCCCCCTGCATTGTGGACACAATTTATGTTGTAAAATGTTTTATGATAAATGAAAACATATCCTGGCTCAAGTATTAAAAACGTGAGCTATGACCCACTAGGTTTAGATCTCTTATGCATCATTAATGCATAGGCTAATGCCACATAACTCCAGCTGATTTTAAGATACACTTTGAAGCAGAGAATAAATACAAATTAGATACTTTTCTGTTCTTCAGTCCTTGCATAGGAATTACAGTTTGTAAATTAGGACCTAGTGTTTTTAGGATCCTAGTTTCAAGACTGTAAAGCAGCAGAATAATCTTAAAAAGAAAAGATTGGTTTAATATCTGAAAATATGTTTTGCACAGATATTGAAACTCACTGATTTTGAATTTAGTACAGAATTCAGTATACTGGAATCTGAGGTGTTTGTTTTTACCACAATAAATTCCGTATGAATTTAGGCTTATACTTTGGCTCCTACTGCAAGAGCTATTTATTATTTTTTACTTCCTGTGTTTCAGTTTTGACTGGAGAGAAGTTAAAACTGAATAATCTTACTCTGTGCTTAAAAAGGATTGCTGGGACATGCAGGGAGAATGTTCTGCAACTGATTTAAGGGGTAAAAGTCGTGATAACAGATGTTGCTTCCTCTGCTGAAACTTCTCCAAAAACTCTTGAAGGGGAATTGTGTGGTGTTTTGTATTTTAGCATTCCCCGCTTTGATTTGACAAACGCTGGACAGTTGTTGTACTCAGCTGTCTGTGACCAAAATAAATGCTGACTCCGATTCCAAATCTGGAAGTGACAGAGAAGTATGTACTTGATTTTGGAAAGAGCGTGCACATGTTTGTTTTAGTTACTGTTTTCTGTTAAAAACTTGTGGATATTTTATAATCAATAAATAGGCTATTTTATAGCTTATAATCAAATGTGCAATATGTAATATCAGTAGTACCACAGCAGTATCGCCAGAAACTAAAGATTGCAAAAGAAAAGGCGGGGGGGGGGGGGGAAAAAAAAAATTTAAATCTTTTTGCTCTTGCCTAACTTGCACAAAACTTTGGTATTTAATCAGAGCTGCAGATTTGGCTTTCCCTTCCTTTTTCAGTTCCATAATGGAAATGATGTCTTGGCTCTCCTGTCTAAACCTTCTGGTGCTATAATAACCTATCTTAAAGATTTTTAATATTGCTGGAAGAGATCTCATTTTGGTGTTAACAAAATGAGCTAATTGGGTATCTTTGGCAGACAGTGAGTTCAGGTGAGGACAGAATTCAGTGTATCAAGGATATTTACAATACAAATATACTCTGTGCTGGTCTGTAAATCTCTGTTTTCTTAGGATTTTAAAGGTTGGAGTTGAAAGCAGTGGTGTAGTGCCGCCTAGGGGATGCGAATTTGCCTGCTAGAACTGATAAGGCATGATTCAAACTGCCTGGTTTCTTATTCTACCATTTTTGAACAAGTTTTACAGCATCAAAATTTGAGCAATACAAAAGCATGTGAATGATGTCTTTCCTAATATGGGCAAAAAGTCATCTTGTTGTAGAGAAAAAATTCAGAAAGATTACTTTTATAGAATTCATGGACATCCTGAATGCGTTAGAAAGTTAGTTTGCATAGAACTTCCAAGTTTAAGCTCTCTAGTGGAGAAAATCTCTACAGACGTGCATATTATACTTTAGGTTATAGGATGTCATAGTTAGGTTTTTCTACGGATTAAAGTTGTGTTCCATAGCATGTTGTGCACAGGTAGAGAAGCTGTTGGAATACGTTGGAATACGTTCTGTTTATAAATAGCAGGAAATCGTTCTTGTTCACTCAAAAATACAAACCCAGGAGAGCTTAGCCTTAAAGAAACTGTCCAAATAAATTTTCTTAATATTTGGGTTCATTTGATAATTAAACTAGAATGAGCTAAATTCCAGTTCCCCTTTTTCCCTTAGTAAATAATGAGATTTTTTTTTAGATATAGATCAACAGTAACGATGTAGTTAACTCTGTCTTTGGACTGATTAGGCAGATCAGTCACTAGTTTTGCTGTAACTGAATGATAGTATTGTGCAGAATGACTCTGGAAGGGTGATGGATACTCTTGTGGTACTTTGCTATGTGATCTGACGAGCCTGAGTTGACACTAGCTCAGAGATCTCTCTGCTCCAGCCAGCAGATTCCCAGAGCTTTCTCACTGTAACATAAAGTTTGGCTTATACATGTTTTGTATTATCCTTGTCTGTATTTGTATTATCCCAGGCTTTATCTGGTCTCTTACACCACTTCATTATCTTGGATAACTTGAGAGCTGACTGTCCTGGGATTGAACGAGCTTCAGTGAGTTATATGGAGGAAATCATCCAGTCTATAATCGGGTAACTGGGTGTACCAAGTAATCAATCTAGCCAATGAAGCTCTGGTTAGCCAAGCTTACATCTTCTGTTCGATGTTGTCAAGGCTGTAATCGCTATTGCATTACATAGAGTTTGCAGGTGGCTTTGCAAATTGTTGAGCATTTGATAGCACTTTATCACTTGAAATAACTTTAAAACTGAGTGCTTTATAGAACTTTCTTTTAATACTGAGAACATCTGAGACCGGTCAGGTATGTGAAGGAGACCAGAGATATCAGCCATATACTAAATATTGATATGGATGAAGTCCAAAACTGGTTTTAAAAACCACCAAATATGAATGATTGTCTTCTAACATTGTGTAATCTTACAGGAAGCTGACTGGTATTGCTTTTGGAGACCTGAATCCTTTTCCATTACGTCAGATCAGGAACCGGAGGACCTACCACCTGGAGAAAGTGCGTCTTGAACTGACTGAACTAGAAGCCATTCGTGAGGATTTCCTGCGTGAACGAGAGACGTGTGTAGAAAAAAGAGACCTTATTAGTGATGATGAGGAGGATAGTTGAAACTACTCAACATAAACTTTTCTTTGGGATCGTGACCAAAGTGAGTTAATCTCCAAAACACTTCATTAATCCTGTCAAACAGAATGTAAACTAGTTGCTTTTGGAAATATGCAGGACAGATTTCCAAACCCCAGCACTTTCAGAAATACTGCTTTGTGTGGAGGCCAAACATTTCTGTTTACATTTATGTTCATGGAATTGTACGTAGAGCACTTGATACCTGTCTCAGTTTAGTCAGTCAGCTGAATTGCCAGTTGTTTTCCCACAGTGCACTGTTAGTGCCTGTACGTGAAACAGTAGTGAGAAAAGTCCATGCTCTGTTTACTACATTCATTGCCATTCTGCGTTTTTTTTGATGAAATGATTTTTTTTTTGTAGCGCAGGTTCAATGTGGGAGAACATCATATTTTTTGGTTTCAGGTTGGTTCAATAAATGGCTTTCATCATATTGTCCTTGAATAAACTAGCCATTCTTGAGGTCACAGACTAGAAAAGTGTGGAATGAAGCACAGGAAGAACTTTTACATTCCTTTGTCTTTTCCTGAAGTGACATGAAATGGATCATCAAACAGAACACTTGAATATATGCCTTAAAGTAAAGGTAAAATAAGTACCTATTTGTCACTGGATGTTCAGTATATACTGAAACAGTGATATCAAACATCATTTATGCTTTTCTGGGCAGCTGTGTTGATAAAGATTCTCGTTAATGCAAAGGGGTTTGTAGATCAAATTCTGTTTAGTCAATTTTATTTCTATTCAATTTTTTGATTGCAATGTCTCAAAGAAGCCACAACCAAAACCCAGCTATTACGGAATAAGAATGGAGCTTGTCACAGGAGTACCATGTTTCAGTAGCTAATTAGTTGTGTATCTGTTGAAAGCTTTTTTTTTAATTATTATTTTAATGCTTCTTCCTATTTAGGGCTTAAAATAAGATGAAGTCTTGATCTTTAAGAAGAAACATAGCATTCTTTTTGCATGAATGTATAACTATTGTACAATAGCGGTAGCGGTAGGATTCCTAAAACAACTATTTATCAATCAATCAAAGGAGCCTAAAGGTCACAGCACGCACACAGAAATTCAAGATCCTTTTCCAGCAGAAAAATGCAATACTCTCTTAACGTGCTCAGCTTTGCTGTGAGTGTTGCATGCACGTCCTACAAAACAGGATGGAAACATTTGTAAGGAAACATTTGGGGTGTTTAGCTGTAGTGTTTCTGACTATGGAAGTGTGGAGGCCATTCTTTCTCATCTGATGACTAGCAATACTCTTAAATGGTTCTGAGGATGAGGAAGATTTCTTTCTTGCTGGCTATTCTCTGGACTTTTGCAATGTTCTTTCTTGAGCTGTTGGATCTTCAGAATGTTGGATTGAATTAAACATTGTGTCTTGATGTGTCATGATAAAACTAGCATTCAAATACTAGGCAGCAAATTGCTCAGTTCTGGGGAAGTGGTTAATTGGCAAAAACCGAAACTGGTGGTTGGGAATGGTCAAGTGCATCAAGCTTCTACTTTGTGTTTTCTTTTGGTTTTCTGAGAACAAGTAGGACTTCTTTATCAGGTATACTCACGTAATGGTTTTAGAAAACTGAAGTGTGTGCAGGGAGAAATCCTGCTTCTGTTTCACAGCACTTTTTTTTGAGAATGTATTTGTAGCCTTCTCTAAATAAGCATATTATCAGTCAATTTATCTGGAAGGGAAATATTTAATCAGTGGTGAACATCGTAACTTACAGGACTACTTTTGATAGAAAATGTATGCTTCTTATATCACATATAACTTTTAATTAGCCAACAAATCCTTGCCAATGAGGGACACATGGTATGATCATCTTGATTTGTATGTTATTTGTCTCCTAAAATGTCCCCTATCTTGTCTATTGTAAGCAGTAGTTTGGGGGTTTTTTATTCCCTAGTTACTCTTGGTTGTGTACTTGAGTTTATTAGGCAGGTTTTTCATATTATTGCATGTACTGTATTCTTTTTTTACTTTCAATCAGTGTTTGAATATAAAAATGGGACCAGGTTTTCTAATTTTCTAGTTATGCTGTCTTGGTTTTGGAAGAGCTGGTCTCTAAATCAATCTGTAATGTCTGCTTTTTTTTTGTTTGTTTTAATCTTGTTTTCAAGTGTTAAATGAAAACTTTCTAAGCTGAAGATCTTCCTTCCAGTGGCAACAGTTGAAATGTTAAGGTGAAGAATTTAGAAGCATGTACCTACCCTATTTCTAAAAGTCTATTATTCCTGGGTTTTGAGTCTTCACTATGAGCTAGTCCTATGACTTTAGGAGATGTTTTCAGTCTGATTTCATTCAAGTCTTTAGGTTGTGAAGATAAAACTAACTTTAGGGCAACTGTTCAGGAAGTTCTCTAGCTGACAAAACATGACCTGCAATGTTACAGGACCATTTCTTTTTTACAGTTGTGCTGATGGTTAAATTTGTGTGTGTTGCTGTGTTTCATTATATGTTGTTATCCAATTGTACCGTAAAACTAAGTAGCTCTGTTTCTTATGCCACCATGTGAATCTAATACATGAACATTAGGAAGCTTATGGAAATCTTCTTGTCTCTGGTTATTTTGTTAGCTTGCAAATATGAAATGAGTTGATGCTGTTACACTCAAGTTCCCAGTGAGCTGTTGGCTTCATTTTGTTAAGCATTGTTACTGATGCCTTAGCTAAAAGCTCAAAAAATTGCAGAGGCATCTAACCTCTGACTACTAGAAGTCTACATAGAACAAAAATGAGATGCATATAGCAGGAAGCAACACCAGGGGAAGCTTGCCTTGCTGTTGCAAATGTCTTTGGGTGACTATTAGTTTTCTAGTGGTGCTTAATCTGGTAACTTTGAAGAGTAGTAACTAGTTGAGGATGTGCAAGATACACAGGCAGTATTTAAACCCGATGAAACCAAGCAAAAATACAGTGTGACTCAGTGGCCTGCGAAAGCTGAACTGCATAGATACCACGTGTTTGTATTTAGGGGTAAACTTCCGAAACAGTGCATGAGGATTTAACATTCCTACCAGCCACTTAGTAGGAAATTGACCTGTTAATGCAAATCAAGATTGCTAAGACTATTTTTTAACTTCAACCTATGTGCAAAGAGTTCCTTATGCACGGTTCCCAGTATGTGAGATGTAAACCAAACCACTAAGTTGCATCTTGCAGAATATTCCTTCATCTTCATATGCGTATGCATGGCTTTCCAGTGAAACTTCTGGTTACTTGTTTAAAACGTTCTAATGTTTTCTGTTAAATAGGCAAAAAATTGGTGCACTACACCTCTAGCTATTAAAACTGCACAGTATTTCAGCTTTATCTGTACATGTGTACAGGTAGTGTTATAATTCAGTGTTATCAGATTGTTTGGTGTTTTTTTTTTTACCAGCTATGTAATCAATAAAAAAGATATGTTGTTGCCCTTTAGGTGTGTTCTGTGAAAGATTCTCCCCTTCCCCTCAGTCTTTGTGAACATGGTAAGATACTTCAGCAGAAGGGGAAAGATTTTTTTCTTCCTTAAGACATCAGGAATGAATGAATGGTCTTAAATTTGACAGGGTTGTATGTTCAGTCATGCTTAACTGAGAAATGGAAAATTAATCAATTTCATGAAATTGTGTAGCTGTTTAAGTGAATGTTCCCTTAAGTGCCATGTTAGAAATCAGCAATATGCGGTACAAGAAATTTGAACATAAGTGATGTTATTTTCATAAAGATTGGTGTAAAGAAAAAATAAATTGTTTATTACTTTACAGCTTGCTCTGGTTCTTTTTTTTTTTTATAACAGATGGAAATAACTGCAGGTACCATCAGAACAAACCAGTAGTAAAGCTGGTGTTCTTGTCTGATAATGTGATTTGAGAGAGTCTCTATAGAGGAACATATATGCAAATTTGGCTTTTAAGCATGAAGATGTGAACTATAGACATGTTGCATGCAGGTGATGCTGACTGGGTAAACTTGTGATTGGTGTCCCTTGTTTCTTGGGAGAGGAGGGAATGGGAGGGGAGATTAAATTTGCATGAGTGTTCACAGGGAACAGATTTCCTAAGAAACATAGGTATTTGTATGAGATGTCCTGACATCAAAAGCATCTTTAGCAGGCTTGGGCACTGATGTTCTGCTAAAGCCTTTGGTAGCCAAGTGCATAATTTCAGCTGCTTTGAAAATTTAACAAAGTACTGAATTAATTTGGAAATCTAGCCTCAATGTCTGTCTTTCAGATATGATTTTTGCATTTTGGAGTTACCTTGATTCCCTTAAAGAGCCTATCAAGTACCTCAACTACTTCAGATATAAAACTTAACAGCTAAATGTTTGTGAGGAAGCAAAAATAAGAGTTGGGAGATCACTTTAATTGCATGTCCAAGCAGCTCTTTCATAGTAGAGGTGAATAGTGCACAGTTCTTATCCTCTGGCTCTGCTACAGGATGGCAAGCTGTTAAAAGTAGATATTGGCACAGTTGGAAATTGGTTCAAAGGGCTTGCAAAACAGGATAGAGAGCAGCAATTGCGGCAGAACATGACTATGGCCCAAGGACCTCCTGTCCTGTATACTGAAAATTTAAGTCAAAGGAATAAACAGAAAATTCTGGGAAGAGAGTGCATAGGGAGCAATGTCCTCACTTGGACACTTGGCATATTTAGCTTGAGTAGGTTGTGTTGCCCTAGCAGCTGCTGGGGCCTGTTAAAGAACAGCTGAGGCTTCTGTTTCCTCCTTGGGACTGAGCTTGAGACATTTGTTCTCAGTGGAATAGCAACAGGGATGTGAGTGTGGCTGATGCGTATAGCTGATGTATGTTGTTAAATATCTTATTCCTAAGAAACGCATTAACTTAGTAAGGATAAATGCAGCTCGTCTACTCTGAACTGAGACCAAATACCTGCAGAGTCTCACTCTCTGTTTTGGGTGCCTCAGAAATGCAGAGAACACACTGAACTCTGCTGGTATTACAATATATCAGGTGTTCATTCTGTGGGATTTTCAGAAGTGCTAAACATAGCTTCCTTATCTGCAG